CCCTCTCTCTCTCTCTCTCTTTCTCTTTCTTTCTGGTGAGCACACATACCCTATAGCATAAACCTCTCCCCAAAAAAAGAAATAATAGTTTATTGGCATCAACCATGGTTCTAGTCCTGGACCCAATGGCTTGAAACTCACTCCAAGTGCATGTGTATATAAACTCAAAATCCCAAGAAGAGAACAGAGAAGGGATTGTGGCATGGCCATCCCCTCTAGGGGTGATTTCTTACTTTCTGTCTTTCTTTCTCTGTCTCTCCAGAGAATACATGTGTTCTATAGCAAAAATCCCTCTAGAAAACAAAAACAAACAAACAAACAAAACTTTATTTGGGGGCCTGCAGGTGAAGTGGTGGTTGAGAAGCTAGACTCCCACGTGACCACCGCAGTTCAATCCCAGATACGGCAGCCTGCTTTCTCACTTTACCCCTTTCTTTGTCTCTCTCTCTCTGGTCAAATTGAAATAAATAAATAAAAATAAATATTTTTTTTAAGTTTATTTTTTTCATAAATGATGTTATTTATGTTAACCTGCAATTTACTTACTATTAGTGTTTTCAAAATAACTTATAAAAGGTTTTAGCTTTCATTGGAGAATAAAGAAAAACAAGATAAAATGTAAGTTAGTCAGGTTTGCTACTTTTCACTAACTTGAATAGTTTAAAATAAAAAATTCTTGTAAAATAAAGTTTGACCACTAACTTATGGTCTTACCACTTAGTTTCCTAGTTCTCAAAAATATCTAGTTGACTTTCCAAACATTTTTCAATGATTAAGGATATTTTCATAGTATAGGTGCTTAAAATAATAAATCCAATTTTTAAAAAGATTTTATTCAAAGTCTTTAATGCCATACAGTTTTTATAAGCCAATAAACAGTGAGGCAAATATTTGTTACTAAAAAACTGCTGGTATACTAGAATGCCCTATAATACAAACAAACAAACAAACAAAAACAAATACATTACCAGATTAATTTTATTGCCAGAGGACACATGTACTTGCCAGAAATAGAGAAAAAGAGTACGGTAGAAAGAGCACACACCCCCGACAGGGCATGGTCCTGCTGCATGATGGATTAAAAAAATAATGAAGCCAGATCATCCAAAGTTTGAAATGAAATACTAAATTCCCAACAACTTGAAAAAAATTAGCCCTACCCTAAATTCACGTGGGGCTTGGATGGGCCTCAATTAAATTAAACATGAGGATTTCTTCTTTACCTATGTGCTTCATTCTTCATTTTTTTTTTTTCCAAGCTACAGGCATATACTTAGGTTTGGCATTAACTCTAATATGAATTGCTGCTAGGCAGAACTGCCAAATATCAGCATGTGATTGAAGGCTTCAGTAATAAGGGCAACAGAGCATGCAAGAACAAAAACTAAAGAAACTTTGTTAGAGACCTATTAAGAGTAAATATAAGGGGGACCAGCAGTTAGTGTAATAGAGGAGAAGGGACTGTAGCGTGGCCATACCCCCTGAGGGGTGATTTCTCGCTTTCTGCCTCTCTGTCTCTGTCTTTCTAGCAGCACACACACCCTATAGCAAAAACCTCTCCCCCCCCAAAAAAAGAGAGAGTAAATATATAAAAGAATCAGACTGTGCCTTCCTTGAGGCCAAGGATTTCTATCGATTTTTTTCCCTCTCCAACCCAGTGCTTGCAATACCTCCCAGCACATTGCAGGCATGTGATAATTATTTGTTGAATAAATGAATAGATTTGATATTTTCATTATTAATATTTATGTCATGGTCAAAAAACAAGAATTGTACCAAAATTAGTAAGTTCACACACTCACTGAACTTAAATCTACACTTTTTAATTAGAACCAAATCATAAATGACATTTTGAAATTTTCCATTACCCACTGGAAAAATTTAAAGTAGAACATTAATTACCACAGGAAAGTGTAAGTTTTAAATGTCCACAACTTAATCATCTATATCCCCCTACTTCTACTTTCTGTCAGAAGTACTGCAAATAAAAATCTAGACGGGCTCCATAGCCTGGAGGTTAAGGCAGCCCAATTCTACATGGCCAACTATGTCGTTCAAATCCCAGCTCGAGCAGTTTGAAAAACACCAAGCACATGTGCATGCCAACAGAATGGAGAAATGGAGGAGCTGGGACCGTGGCACAGCCATGCCTTATTCAGGAGTGCATGCTCTTTCTCTTTCTTCCTCTTTCTCTCCTTCTCTCTCTTATGCACCTTCCAGCAATTAATTAAATTTTTTAAAAAGGAAATCTAAAAAAAAAAAAAAAGACCAAACTCATAGACAAACCAAACCAATCTAAAACCGAAAAAATACTTCCCAATTTTTAAGCTCATCAGAATTTCCGCAACTTTCTAACAGAAAATTCTGTTAAGGGGAACAGTGGGAAGAACTGCTAACTCCCTGTTGAAAGCCCCTAATATCTCCATACAGCAAGTATTGCTTGGATTGCCAGCAAGTTAAACAAGCATAACTGAACTACTGAATCAGTAAAGCAGCCATTAGAGAAGACTATACAGAAAAATTCACGGGGCTAAGTATAATTCAATACAACTTAAACCTCAGTGGTTTGGATCACTGACAATCAAGCCTTCTCTTTTTATATTTAAGTGGCATTTACTCAGAATATTCACAGGTAATACTTAAGAAATGTGAAGTTCCATTATTCATGGTATTCAAAGTCCTAGAAACATAAGGAAGCCAGATTTTACCAATGCTTACTCTATGAAGGTTCACATGTTTATTTCATTGCTAAGCTTGAGTTCAAACTTAATCCTGAAGGTGCACAGTAATACTTTCATTTAACAGGATTATAACCTACTGGACTAAGAGCAATTCAAATTCATTCTGGACAGTAAATATAAATTAGTAAACAGGGGCTCTTGAGAACATATTATAAAACAGACCTGAAAGAGCACAGAAGTTGCTAGAAACAAAGACTTACTTCTTGATACAGTTGGTCATGAGAAGATGGACATCTTGTCTTTCATCTAACAGCAGCATTGCCCCTAAATAGCCAATGCGCTTGTCTGTAAATTTCTGAGAGGCGATAAGCTTGAGGCACTCCAACTGCACAATAAAACAAAAAAAGAAGAAATTAAGAACTCCCAATTACAATCTAGAAAAGAAGTATTTTTTGTTTTTGTTTTTGTCTTAGAACAAATGTGCTGGAGGGAGCTGGGGGGAGGGGAGAAGTCAGTGAAATAGAGACAGAGACAGTGAGAGGGAAAGTGAGAAATCACCCTCCGGGGCACATGGCCATGCCACAATCCCTTCTCCTCCATTATCCTCCCGGGATCTCGAGCAAACACACACACACAAACCTAACATGACTTTCAAGCCATCAGGTCCAGGACTCAAAACATCGTAGGCCCTATGAGAGACCAGTAACATAACCGCTATGCCATCTGTTGCCCAAAAAACAATGTCTTTAATTGAAGAGTTAAAAACACAGACAACTGGGGCCAGCAGGTAGTGTGGTGGTTAAGAAGCTAGATTCACATGGTCAACCACTGTTCAAGTACCAGACCCAGCAGCTTGAGAATCACACCAGGTATTCGTGCATGCATGCCCAAAATCCTGATAAGAGAATGAGGAGAATGTATGGCCATCCCGCAAGGGGGGTGTGATTTCTCACTTCCCCTCTCTGGTGAGCACACACACCCTATGGCAACATAAACACACACACACACACACACACACACACACACACACACACATCTGAAGTAAAGCATAAACTATGTATTATCAAATTACCTAAGTGAAAAGCAAAGGTTTCAGAATTTTGGATGTCTCAGGAACCAACAGGTAACATGGCATGGTGATTAAGATGCTAGACTCCCACATGGCCAACCATGGTTTAAGTCCCAGACAAGGCGGCTTGAAAATCACACTGGTACATGTGAGTGCCTGGCAAAATCCTAAGAGAACAGAGAAAACAGGGATTGTGGCATGGTCACACCCCCAATGGGGTATGATTTCTTACCCTCCCTCTCACTGTCTGTCTGTTCGGTGAGCACACATGTCCTATGGCAAAAACCTTAAAAGAAAAAAAGAAAAAGAAAAGAAAAGAAAGAAAAGAAAGAAAAGAAAGGAAAGGAAGGAAAGGAAGGAAAGGAAAGAAGGAAGGAAGGAAGGAAGGAAGGAAGGAAGGAAGGAAGGAAGGAAGGAAATCAACCAATCTTTGGCTATCTCAGTAATTATAATCAAGTTCTGAAACAGACCACTTTGTAAAAGTCCTAAGAAATCTGCCATCCAAATAATATGTGCATTTTACCTTAGTTCTACAAATTCATACAAATATAGACTAGTTAAGTATTACATAGTAGGATATTAATAAACCAAATTCCTAATTTAATCTCCAGATTGAATCAATACATAGCTTATGCTATGTATTTAAGGACTAATTCCTACTTTCTGAATCAAAAAATTCAATAAGGAGACCAGCAGTTGACGTACTGGCTATGTTGCTCAACTCCCATGTAATCGACTACAGTTTGAGTCCCAGACCCAGGGGCTTAAACTCACGCTGGGCGCATGGGTGTACATGCCCAAGATCCCAAGAGGTGAATGGAGGAGAAGGGATTGCAGCACGGCCATCCCCCTGGGGGGGTGATTTCTTGCTTTCTGTCTCTGTCTCTCTTTCTGGTGAGCACACATGACCTATAGCAAAAACCTCTCCAAAAAAAAAATCAAAGTGCCAAACACTGTCCTAAACATCAGAAATGTGCAATTAATTAAAGAAAAAAGAGATAACTACTAACTTTAACATAATATGAGAAATAATACATTTAAAGCTTGAACCAATTTCTATTGTAGTAGTGAGGGTTAAGGAATCAATTACAGAAAAAAAATCTAAGAAAAATTTAGAGGTGGAATTAATCTAATATATTTTACATAATTTCTCCTTTACATAATTGTCTAAAATAACTTCTCAGGGTTTAAGATTCCTTATAGTTAGTCTGTCTCTCTACTCAACCTTTCTTGAAAGTCACACTCACTTTCAGATACTCTATCTGAGAAACACGCAAAAGGCCAAACATTCCCCCTGAAAGCAGTAGTTTTCCAAGGGCATATATATGTCAGACTCTGCAAGAAGCATTTTCAAAATGCTCCCCCTGTAGGGGGTCAGCAGGTGGTGTGGTGGTTAAGGGCACTAGACTCCCACATGGCTAACTGTGGTTCGAGTCCCAGACCTGGTGGCTTGCTTTCTCACTCTTTCTCTCTAGCTCTCACTCTGTCTCTCTCTGTTAAAACTTAAAAATAAATAAAGTTAAATAAAATAAGTCTTGGGGACCAGCTGATGGCATAATGGTTATGTCGCAGGACTCCCATGTAGTTGACCGCGGTTCGAGTCCCAGATCTAGTGGCTTAAAACTCACACTGGGCGCATGTGCCTGTGTGCCCAAGATCCTGAGAGGAGAATGGAGGAGAAAGGATTGTGGCATGGCCATCCCCCCGGGGGGGGATTTCTCACTTTCTGTCTCTGTCTTTCTGGTGAGCACATGTGCCCTATAGCAAAAAATCTCTTAAAAAAAAAAAAAAACCCCAAAAAAAAAAAAAAACCCCAAAAAAAAAAAAAAACACAAAACAAAACAAAACAAAACTCCCCTACAGATTTAACAATCCCAAGGAAAGGAGCTCAAAATGGAGCCTGGGTAACAGAGGACACTGAGACCTAAGAGTACGTTCCATTGTTTGAAAGCGAAATTGAGCAAAGTAAAAACAGTTCCACAAACAGAAATGTTTCAAGCTGTTTAAAAATTCCTCTCAAGGGCAAACAGCAGGATCCTAGATGGTCACAGCACAGTCCAAGTCCGGGACCCCAGCAGCTTGAAAAATCGTGCCGAGCATGTGTGCTCAAAATCCCAAAGTGACTGACAAAGAAGAGACTGCAGCATGCCCATATCCCCTGAGGGGTGATTTCTTCTTCTCCCCTGCCTCCCCATATCTGGTAATGCATGTGCTCTATAGCAAAACTCAAAAAACAAAAGCAAAAACCAAAAAACAAGAAAAGAAAAATCCTCTCTCAATGTACCTGCACTAAAAAAATACCTAAGGGACCAGGAGATGGCATAACAGTTACATCACTGACTTCCACATAGTCGACCATGGTTAGACTGTCAAACCAGATGCCTTGAAACTCATCCTGGGCACATGTATGTGAGTGCCCAAAATCCCAAGAGGAGAACAGAGGGGAAGGAACTGCAGTGTGACCATCCCCCCGAGGAGGGGGTGATTTCTCACTTTCTGTCTCTCTTGTCTCTCCAGTTTAGCACATGTATCCTATACCAAATAAAAACTCTCTCTCTAAAAAAAAAAAGAAAAGAACAACAACTAAGGTTAGCTAAATGAGTATACTATTATGAGCCTGTCAAAGAAATCTCTAAGGGAGAATAACCAGATAAAAAAGAAAAACTTAAATGTCTCATGAAATTGAAAAAGATTGTGTAATTAACAATCCTTCCCAGGCCCACAGGTGGTGTGGTGGTTAAGGCGCTGGACACTCCCACATGGCTAACCACGGTTTGAACCCCGGACCTGGTGGCTTCCTTTCTCTCTCTCTCTCTCTCTCTCTCTCTGTGTGTGTATGTATGTATGTATGTATGTATGTGTGGGTGGGTGTGTTTCTATCTGGCCAAATTAAAATAAATGAATGAATAAATAAATTTTGTTTAAAAACCCTTCCTTCTTGGGACCAACAGTTACCGTAATGGCTATGTCACTAGACTCCCATGTAGTTGACCACGGTTCACGTCCGGGACCTGGTGGCTTAAATCTCACGCCGAGCATGTGCGTGCGTGCCCAAGATCCCGAGAGGAGAATGGAGGAGGAGGGATTGCGGCGTGGTCATCCCCCCTGGGGGGTGATTTCTCGCTTTCTGTCTCTCTGTCTCTGTCTGTCTGGTGAGTGCACACACCCTATAGCAAAATTTATAAAAGTATGAAAGACAGGGCTGGCTACATGGTCTGGTAGTTAAGAGAGCCAGACCCAAATGGCCTACCACATGGTTTGAATCCCAGAAGAGGTGACTTGAGAAAAATATTGAGTATGTGTGCATGCTTGCCCAAAATCCCAAAAGGAGGGGAAAATGGAGGAAAGGGATGTAGTACAACCATTCCTGATTGGGAGAGTGCTTTCTCCCTCTCTTTTTCTCTCTTCTCTGTCTCTCTCTGGTAACCACATATACCTTCTGGTAAAAAATTTTAAAACATTTATGACTTTGTGGGCCGACTAGTGATACAACGATTTCCCACATGGCCAACCGTGGTTTGACCATGGTGATCTCCGACATGGCCAGACTCAGCAGCTTTAAAATCACGCTGGGCATGTGTGCGTATGTGCCCAAAAATCCCAAGAGAAGACTAGAAGGGATTGTGGTGTGCGCACAATTTCTCATTTTCCCTCTCTTTGGCAAGTACATGCACCAAATGGGGGGGAAAACCCTACCAGTGACTGCTGAATACAATTTGTTGGTTTTTGTGACATTTAAAAGACATCGATAGGGGCTGGTTGGTGTGGTGGTTAAGGGCTCTGGACTGCTACACAGACAATTGCAGTTTGAGTCCCGGATCTCGTGGCTTGCTTTCTCTCTTGCTCTCTCTCACTCTCTCATTCTGTCCCTCTCTGGTCAAATTTAAATAAATAAAAATAAATGAAGTAAAATAAAAATAATTACTAAAAAAAAAATTGGGGTTGGGACGAGCAGTTAGCATAATGGCTATGTCGCTGGACTCCAATGTAGCCAACCAGGGTTCAAGTCCCGGACCCAGTGGCTTAAACTCACGCTGGGCGCGTGTATGTGAGTGCCCAAGATCCCAAGAGGAGAAAGGAGAAGGGATTGTGGCGTGGCCATCCCCCCTGGGGTGTGATTTCTCGCTTTCTGTCTCTCTCTTGTCTGTCTGGCGAGCGCACGCGCCTTATAGCAAAAACCTCTCCAAAAAAAAAAAAAAAATTGGGGTCAGCAGGTGTCATGATGGCTAAGGGCACTGGACTCCCACATGGTCGACCACATGGCCAGACCTGGCATCTTGCTATCTCACATTCTCTCCCTCTCTCTCTCTCTCTCT